GATCCTCCCATGCGTGTACATCACAAATATGTGGTTAGAAGTTCAAGAAAATGGTCCAAGGGTGTTCAACATTGGCTCGGAAGTGAGAAAAAACGGGCGTCGATGTGTGTACAACACAAATATGGGGGTTAGGATTGAAGAAAGTGACCCTAGGGTGGTCAACATTGGCTTGGAAGTGAGAAAAACGGGCGTCGGAGGGCGTCGGAGGATATATAACTGGTTGCTGAAACAATTGCTGGCCTCCCACCCTTCTACGGCCTTCCTGGTGATGAAACAGAGGTACCTGCCAAAAATGAACGAAAACCGATGCAAAACGAATGTTCGGGGGCCAGAATGCGCAGTTTAGGGCCCCGAAAACTGCCTGTTAAGCACCGAAAGTGGCACTCAACCACGAAGTGGGTCTCTCAGACCTCAGTGTCCCTCAAAAGGAAGTAAATAGGAAGTACGCCAAAAACCGGAGCAAACGGAGGTGGTTAAGCGGTCCCGAACCGAGGCACACGGCCTGACGGCTCCGAAAACCGAGAACTGGGCTCCGAAATGGGCAAAATGGCCTATAGCCACAAAATGTAGCCCACGGCCACTGAGAGATGGTCTACGGGACCTCTCCCTCCCGGAAAAGAAACAGAGAAAATCGAGTCTGGTTCGCAAATCGAGGCAAGGCACAGAAGAGGGTTCAGAAATCCGGAGGCAGGGCTCACGGCCAAGACTCTGAAACTTCTGAACGAGCACATTATGCAACATCACCAAACGCTCAACTGGTGACGTCTGAGTCTCAAGGTCGGTCAAAAATGGGGTGTCTACAGGTTGCTGGTCTCAAACAGAGGAGGACCCTTCAACAAAGTTGAAGAGGGGCCCAAAGCATGGTGTTTTACAGTTAGTGACCAAACCCAAAACAGTGCACATGCAAGCTTAAAATACTATGCAAAATAAGGCCTAAAAAGAGGTTTATACACAAAGAGCAAAAAGAAAACTTCAAACAGTAAAGGTCCATTGATCAAACATGAAGAGGGGGTCAAAATAAGGCTATTTACAGTTCGGACCAGAGCCCAAAATACAAGCACAAGGGGCTAACAAAACATGCAAAAAATAAGGCCAAAAGAGGGATAAAGAGGCAAGTGACAAAAGAAAGTCTCAAACAGTGAAGAGTCCTTCAACAATGTTGAACAAGAGCTCAAAATAAGCCACTTTACAGTTTATAACCAAGCTCAAAACAATTTACAAATAGGCCTAAAATACTATGCAAGAAAGAGGCATACAAGAGAGGTAAAAAAGCAAGTGGTAGCTAGAGACCTTAAACATGGAAGGACCCTAAAACAAACATGAAAAAGACCTCAAAATAATGTTATTTTCAGTTAGTGTCGGAGCCCAAATATGAAAGCAAGTATGGCTAATATATTGAGCAAAATAAGGCAAGAAAGAGGGAGGAGAAGACTTATCCTTGAAGATCAAATCTTTGACAACTCTTGGACCAAGTTTGGTGGCTCCTTAGCTCTGGAAAACAGCTCCAAGTCGCTGGAATGGATGGTGGTGGTGTGGTGCTAGGTGGTGGTGTAAAAATGATGTAGGGTTTGGGAGGTTTTGAGGGTTGGAGTGTAGAGAGAGAGAGATACAATGTAGGAGCTCCAAACCAAAATTTCTAACCCTCAAAACACAGCTGGGGGGCCTGGATATATAGGCAAAAGAGGGGGAAAAAAGGGGGGAATGGAATTCAAGTTTCCCCCCAAAAGTTGGGCCCCCCGGATCCAAAATCTGGGGGGAACCAGAGGGCATTTCTGTAAAGTACCTGGAGAGAGGATCATGGCCGGCCGGTTTCCTAGGGTTTAGGTGGCCGGCCGGCTCTCCCCATGGCCGGCCGGCCAAGGGTCAAAAGGTTCAAGCAGTATTAGTGGCCGGCCACCCCAGATTGGTGGCCTCCCATGTGTGCACAACACAACCATGTGGTCAAAAACTGGAGAGAATGAACCAGGAGAGAGAAAATGCCACTTTTAGGAGGGGTTCAAAAGGGTCACACAGAATTACTGGCCGGCCATATGATATTGGTGGCCTCCCATGTGTGTACAACACAAATATGTGGTTTGGGGCAAGAAAAAGTGGCCTTAGGGTGGTCAACATTGGCTTTCAAGTGAGTAAAACGGGCGTCGGAGGGCGATGGAGGAATAAAACTGGTTGTCAGAACAATTACTGGCCTCCCACCCCTCTACGACCTTCCTAACAATGAAACAGAGGTCCCTGCCAAAAATGAACTCAAACCGATGCAAAATGGAGGTTCGGGGGCCGAAACGCGCAGGCCGAGGCCCCGAAAACTGACTGTTAGGCACCGGAAGTGGTGTTCGACCACGAAGTTGGTTTTCCGAGCGACAGTGTCCCTCAAAAGGGAGCAAATAAGATGCATGCCAAAAATCGGAGCAAACGGAGGTCGTTAAGCGGTCCCGAACCGAGGCACACGGCCAACGGCCTCGAAAAATCGAAAACCGGGCTCCAAACGGGAAAAATAGCCTACGACCACGAAACGTAGCGTACGGCCACTGAGAGATGATCTACGAGACCTCTCCCTCCCTTCGGAAAGAGAAAACAGAGAAAACAGAGCCTGGTTCGCAAACCGAGGCAAAGCATGAAAGAGTCCGGAAGTCCGGAGGCAAGGCTCACAGCCGAGACTCTGAAACCTCTGAACGAGCACGATATGCAACATCACCAAGCGCTCAATCGGTGACGTCTGAGTCTTAAGGTCGGTCAAAAATGAAGTATCTACATATATATAATAAAAAATATTTTTTACACTAAAATTTACCAATGACACTACACTACCACCACCTTCCCATATCCTAAACACTCTTATACCACATATAGTATTATTTTATCCCAAGCAAGATTGGACAACTTACCACAGGCGTTACAAAATGATTACAATACCGTCATCCTAATAACTCATTTTGTAATAATTTAACTCAACTTATTCAACACACTAACCAAACATGACCTATGTAATTTTGGCTTCGTTTGGTTATTTAGTTGGGACTAAAAATACACAAAAGATAAAATAGGCTAAATAAGATAATAAAACAAAATTTCATGTCTAAATCCTAATTATTTCACTTTTTTCTCACAAACGTAAAAAAAAAAATCAAAAAAATCAACCCAAACGAACTTTTCCAAGCTAAAAAAGTTACCACCCAAAGACGCCAACTAAAAAAGATTTTGTCAAAAGACAACTATGATTATTATCCTGCCATCTTACTCGAAATACCAGGGTGTTTGGTTGATCATCTTCATTCTTTTTCTTTTTTTTTTCATCTCTTCTTCTTGAGGAGGAGAAGAGGTGTTTGGCAAAAAGAGCATTGGTCATCTTCATTCATTTGGCAGATCTTCACATGATCACTTGAAGACAGGTAAACAAGGAGGTCCAAAATAAGAAACAATATGAAAAACTTCATGCACAAAGTACAGAAAAACATAGCTCCAGCAAGCAACCCCCATTTAGAAATTTCTTAACAACTAATCAAGATTAGTGAAAAACAAAAACAGAGAAGAAAAAATAAATAAATATTGTAAATCACACGCAAACAAGAACACAAGATTTTCATGTTTCACTCAAACACTAGGAGTACGTTTACCGTTGCTGCGATTTCACTACGATTAGAAAGTGTTACAAGTGAGATGTAGCCGTTCCCCTCAACTACACATATAATTAAGGCTACAAGTTACAAGTACGAAGATACCAAGATACCCTTTCAAATGTAGTGTCCCATACTAATCAAGATCCACCACTACCCAACACCCTATTCCCTGTGTGCTTCAGGTAAACATGGAGAGACCAGCAGAGCCTGTATTCCTGGTTTCCTTTCAAAGATTCAATTGTAATCCATCTTTCTTCTAAATGCACCATAATTGGATTCGCTAGTTTTACCAGCTCTCTTACACCTTTGAGATCATAATTTCTATAAATGTGCAAAAGCATATGAAACTGACACCTGCCAAAAATTTACTGATGCAATATTGAATTGAACTCAAATTTTGCTGAAAACTCTCCATTCAAACAACTTCAGAGCAGTTGAGACTTGCCTTGCCATCGTGAAGCAGATTTGTATCATAAGCATCTTGATGATCAGTCAAGAGGGAAACTCTTTTCAGCATGAAATTAGAGTCGAGTATTTGCATATTATCTACAGAGCAACTGTATAAAGTTTTTCAATTATAGTGTCGGTTGATATATCTAATTTCAAACATGGAGAAGAATGAGAAGAGAAGCAAACTGGCAGGGTTGAATCGAAGTCCTAAAAACTCGAAACATGGAAGTTGAACGTAAGTAAGCTCTCAAGAAGAGAGAATGATGAACCTACATAACCTCGCATGTTCTACAGAAACCACTAGTTACCTTTAGGAGCACCATGCCATATCAATTTCATCAAATTACAAGCATTACAGAACCGACACACTCCTGCAAATACAAACCAAGCAAAATAATGATTCTAAAGCAAAATAAGTCCTCTACGGTGGTATAGAGAAAGACAAACAGAGGTACTTTCCAACGATGTTTTCTGTGGTAACGTTTGAATGTACCTATGCCTAAAAGATGCTGAAAAGCAATGCTGTTTGGTAGTGCAGAAAAAGAGAGACATCGAGGAAGGAGATGAGATTCCATCAGCATAGAATGATACTGAAAAGGCAGACAAGGTGGGGTGGAAACTGCAAGATGTACACTCAAAAGCATGATGCAAAAGGTTCATAGCAAGAGCTACTAGGATGGCTAAATTATCCAAGCTGATTAGTTTGTCAAATGCAAAGCAGAATTTACACAATTCGTTAGTCATAACCTACTTGAAGAGATAATATCGTAGGTTGTCACATGATCCGAAGTCTTGCACCACTAAAAACACAATCAGAACTTCACTAACAAGAAGGAACATTTCAAAATGTGACATTTCTCAGCACAAATGATTGAAATCAATAATTTTTTCCCTGAAAAATCAGCATAATATCTTTTAGACAAGCCAGATAGTATCTTTTAGAGATTACACAGACAGCATAATAATTCAATTAGCAAGTTCCATTAGACAAATTAAAACAAAGTTACAACTTTTCAGAACTCTAGACTACATACAATTTGGTATCGTATTAGTGTCAAACCAACCCCACATGCACCCCCGAAAAGAAAACCCCAAAAAAGGAAAATCTTTACAACCATTTCTACATGGATACAAGTAGACAATCTAGAAAGAAAAAACCAAAAACGAACCAAGAAAATTCACAAACCATAGAGAACTAGAGGTAAATGTCACCATTAGCCAAAGAGCTTCCACGCCATAGAGCGATAAGCTTGCAATTTTTGAATAGTGTACTTCCCAAATTCATTCCTTAGCACACCAACTCAAACAGCCTTTGATTGAACACTTCAACTGGAATTTTTTTGTATTCTTGTATATCAAGATTGTAATGCCACAAACCGAAAATCTTAGTTCACATACTAAAAACCCAATACAAGAAATTCATCATTTTCCCACATAGTCTACCCATATATATATATATATATATATATTAATATGCACACTTCAAACCTACAAGATAAACCTGAGATTGAATGACTGTTTTTCCAATCTTAAAACCTGGCATTACCGTGAATCCCACCTTAGGCCTCCCCTTACCCGGAAACACACCTTTCTTCGTGACATCTTCCATGTAAACCATCGAGAAATCTATGCCTCTCTCAACCTGAAAAATCTCAACAATAGGATTGAACGAATAGGCTAACTTATGAAGCAACCATATTGAGCTCGACATCTTAACAAACGACTCATAAAATGCACTCAACGACTTCCACGAATTCAATACCACTTCATTTTGCTCCAAATTGATGAAAATTGATGATTCCATTGAAGGGTGTATGAGATGCTGATACTTTTTCTCGCAAAATCGTGAAAACTCACAACTCGGATTCTTGCTTAGAACCTCCATAGGATTGCACGTTACATGCTCGATTAATTGCTTCAAAGAACTATTTTTCTCTGAATTTGAGTTATTACCATTGCATACAATTCCATTCAAATCCAACCCAAAATTTTCTGAATCGAAACCTCGAAACATACCCAAACTAACATATGACAGAAACGCATACCGGCTATGCCCCTTTTTCGCGTAATCGATCTCAGAATGAACTGAATTTGATGCCAAATCCAAATCCCACCCTGCTTTCTTCATCAAATCAATCAAGAGCTTAGTAAAACTATGCAATGATCTACAAGCTTCGCGCAACATCGAATCGAAAACCTGAATCGTCAACAGAACCTCCATAGGCGAATTCGAGCTTGGTTTCGAATTCGAACTAGAATTCAGTAATTTCTTCGACAATTTCGAATTAGACTTGTGAATTTTATCCAACTCTTGCCTTAGGGCCAACACTTTGGTGTCTTTATCGTCGATTTCGGACTGCAATCGATTGAAGACGGTGTCCAGAGCCCGAAGCTTGCTCTGATTCTCTTGTACCTGAGCTTCCGAGCAAGACCCAATTGGGAAATCAAGAATGCAATTGGGGTTTTTGCGAAAATTCCTAAACCAATTCCTGAAATCAGACAATCTCTGAAGATGAGAGACCAGAGCTTTATCGGCAGCTTTAATGGTGTCTTCATCGAAAGGCGAATGGGCTGTCTGTAACTGAAGATAGTAAGCTTCAAACGATGAAATCGTAGCGAAAAGGGAAGATGTCAGAGTCTCTGCGAACTGGGTATCGATGGTTCGAATTGGGGAAGATGGTTTTGAAGCAGATGATTTGTGGGTTTGGTCTGGTTTGATCACAACGACCTTTTGATCGGTAATGAATTCTTCGGCGGAGTCAAGGAGTGTGAACCCATCTCCATCCTCGCCGTCAGTGGTGGCGCCGGCGGTAACGGACTCGTCTTCCTCGGCGAAGAATTCGAATGTTTTGGTCTTGAAAGCGAGTGCGAATTTCTGAAACATTTCGGAGATTTGTGGTGGCTTTGACGGACCTTCCATTTCTGGCATCTCTAATTCCCTTCCACTTTGCCTCTCTCAATAACTATATATATAGAGAGAGAAAGAGAGAGAATTCAACAAGTTCACCTCTGGTTTAGAGAGAGAAAGTAGACTCCATAGCTGTGTGAGAGAGAGAGAGAGAGTATTCAATAAGTTCACCTCTGGTCTAGAGAGAGAAAGTAGACTCCATAGCAGAGAGCGCGAGAGAGAGAGAGAGAGAGAGAATAGGGGGGTTTGTGGTGCTTTGGATAACTTAGAAGGAAGGTATGCGTCTGAGTTTGATGAGTTAGGCTTGCAAGACTTTTCTTTTACCTTTTCTTTTTTTAAGGAATAAATTACAAACATATTTTAAAATTTATTTAAAATATGAATCACTTTATTTAATTTTAATTTTAAGAATTTATTTTTTTAAAAATGTCATTTTTTCGTTTTTCATATTTTTTTTATTTTTACTAATTTTTTAATATTTTAAACAATTTTTTTAATTTTTAAACACACCTAACATAAATACACTTAATATTTGTGAAAAAAATCTTTAAAAGATTCACTAAATACCAAAATAGAAAAAAATAAAAATTCAGTACATTTTTCCTATTTTAGTGTATTTATTAATTTTTTAAAATATTTTTTCACAAATATTTTATTAATTAGATACATCTAAGTGAAATATAATTTCCAGAATTACATTAGACCATTTATATTTTAAGCAACGAGAATGTTATATGTACTAATTGGTATGTCAATTAATGAATCAACATATGCTATGATATTATTATTTCAAAATTATGATCTCACTTTTTATATAAATTTTTAAAATTATATTGGGTTGGTTTGGGAAGTAAGTTGGCTTTTTGACTTTTTTGACTTTTTTAGTCTGGGCTAAAAAATTTAGGCCAAGTTTGGGAAGACTAAAAAAGTGCACTTTTTGTCTTTTTGGACTAAAAAATTGAGGTTGAAAATATGGATGTTTGGGTTAACTTTTTGACTTTTTATTGAAAAATGTGTAATAAAAAAATGAAAAAATTGATTCGTAGGGACCTATTTAAATTAAAATCACTTTTCAAAATAAGCAAAATTCAAAATTTTATCCTATTGACTTTTGGTGAATAGTGTTAACTTTTTAGCTTTTTGAGTAACTTTTTGACTTTTTGACTTTTTTGGATCTTCCCAAACTTGGCCTTAGTTTAGGAATGACTTTTTAACTTTTTGACTTTTTTAACTTTTTTTTTTGAGAGAATAGTGTAATGATTATGAGTTAGATGTGATGTTTTATCTTTTGTGATTAAAATAATCTATTTTATCTTTTGTGACTAAAATAATAAAAAAAAAAAAAAAAAAGTCCCATATTCTTCTTCTCAAATGGTGCCAATCATCTATTAATATATAATAGGTGTATTTATAATTTATACTTGTTTTTGTTAGTATTGTTTTTGTGTTTTATGTTTTTGTATTTTGTGTTTTTTTAATGCCGTTGGACTTGTTTTGTGAAGTCGGTGTTGTCGATGATTAACGGTAAAAAGAGGGAGGGAAAGATAGGATGACAGGCGACTGTCGCTTTCGTTAGTGGCCGACAAATGGAAGGACATTTCTGTAAAATAAAAAAATAATAATAATTAAAAAAAAACTCATAAAAAAATATTAGATAAATTACAAATATATTCTATGAATTTTACTTAAAATACGAATTATTTTCTGTTGTTTAAAAAATTACAAATATCTCACTGTTAGAATTTTTTATTTAACAGAATTAATTGAAAAATAAAATTTCTAACTACTCACATATATAATAATAAAATTATCTGAATTATTAATTGAAATAAAATTTTAACATTATTAAAAACTGTTAATTAATTAAGATTTATTTATTATGAAATTAAAAACTTTAAAGGACATAATATAATTTTTAAAACTATAAAAGATAATTTATAATTTAAATAAATCTCAATAGATATGTTTATAATTTACACAAAAATATTTGACATTTGACTCTTTTTTGTTTTTTTATCATAATTTGACATTTGACTTTAGTTTTGAGGTTTTAGGCTGACACCATTCATAGATCACTCTTGACTAGTTTTAATGAAGATTTCAAATGTTTTTTACAATCCAAGCATAAGGGTGTAATTTTGGTCTGGACTATCTGGGTTTGGGTCGGATCCATATCGAGCCTTGCAAATTCTCGTCAAAAAATCAGGCGTGGGTCAGTTCACGGGTCAAAAAACTAAGCCCAAGTCCAAACCTAGGCCCAGGGTATTTGGGTTATGGGCGGGCCAGTGGACCTGGCTCCTGTGCTTGGGCCTGGGCTCGAGCTTTGAACGGGCTTGGGTGGGCCTAAACAATTTTTTTTATTTTTTTAAATTTTTTTATATCAAAATTTTATTATTTTTATTAAAAATAACACTAGGCCTCGAGTGGGCCAGGCTTTTGGACGGGCCTTAAGCGGGCCCATGGGAGGGCCACGAGCCAAACCCATGGCCGGTCCGGACTTCAAAATGATGACCCAGGCCCAAGGCCTCGGGCTAGGCTTGGGCTTTGGCCCACCTCGGGCCGCCCACGGACCACATGCCAAAATTACACCCCTATCCAAGCATTAAATTCAACACTTATTTTAAGGGTAATTGTTGTTAAAATTGACATTATTATGAGAGAGGTAAATGTAAAATTAAAATTGTGATTACGAATGTAATTCTTTTATTACTTGAAAATGGTGAGTGTAATTTACCTAATTTATTTTTGACAAAATAAACACTCACAACTTTAACTGATTGAGCCAATTAGTACTAGTTTAGTTGGTTAGGATATTTATATTTGACTAGGAGAATAAAAATTCAAGTCTTGTAACATGTAATACTTCCTTTTTCTCAAGTTCAAATCTCTGATGTATCTAGAGAACACCCACTATTTATACTTCTTTCATAGGGCTTTAAACCAGCTAAGCTGAACTTTGAAATGTTTAAGCTTGATTCACTAAACATTTGTTGAGTTGGAACTGGGCTTGTTATGTATTTGATAAGATTGAATTTGGCTCAAATCAGTTCAATTACATAAACGAGTTGAACTTGAAAAGAGAAAAAATATTTTTATTGAGAGAAAATTTTGAGCAAAATGTAAAATGATACTCATATTATTAGTAAAATAAAATATAAATTTGCACAAATGCCAATAATGAATAGAGAAAAATAAATTATTGTAATTAATGAGAATATATTTGATAATCATTAAAATTAATTACTAATTTATTTATTATTATGTTCACGAGCCTATTTAAACCGAACTTGAATCTACTTGAGCTCATCTCGATAATTAAATGAGCCTAATTTGACTCCAACACGTTTATTTAGTAAATGAAATAAGTTCAAACAAGTCAAACTCAAATTGTTGAACATCTTGATTTGTTTACACTTCTATTCCTTTATGCATAAAATACTACATAATCTATCAACTTTTATCTTAACAACCTCTACCTCAAGTCTTAAGAGGACGATGGTTGAGTGTTATTAGCACCTACAACAATGCCTCTTGACCGGCTAATTGTGGTTGATCAGGCACCTTTTATTTTAATAGCTAAAAAAATTCATATCAAGCTAGGACGTGCTCGCTAACAAGTTTTATCGAGCCTTCTACGCATCTGGGGCAATACATATCGACATGCCAGAGTGGGAGGAATACGAAAATGAAACTGTTGAAGACTATGGCCTTTTCGAAGGGGAGTCCGATCAACTATTAGAATTGACCATGGTCTAAATTCGGCCCTTTCACTGAGGATTCTAACCCTTGTATAGGTTGGGCACCTGAGTCGCTTTAGTCCATTGGTTCAGTTTCTAAGAAAGCACGTCTCACTTTCCTTCCTTTAGCACACTCTACATCTGTTCTTGAGCTATCCAAGGGATCGAGTGATTCGAGTGCTTGTAAGGGAAGTGGGAAGGGCTTGGCATGGTGATTGACTGATCAATCGTTATTGAAAATGACTTTTGAAAGGTACGCAAACGAATCAATATCTCAACATAAGCCAAGAGGCAAATCTTGTGCCACTCCACCTAGTCGTATGAAACTGGCATGCATCCTAGCTCCCGAGACTCGTTCATAGAATTCCAACAATTTCTCTTGCTCCTCAAAAGCCCACAGGAACAGAGTTGATGCTCCCACATCCATAGAATTTTATTGATGAAATTCAAAGTACACCATACAAAGATAATACATCAACAAATGACATAGCATTCCTAAGTTATAATATTTGAATTGCTCTTGCATTCAATATTTTCAAAACAAATCTTATAAAATATTTCATATTTTCTAAATCATCTTGATTCAGGCATTCATGTTTTTGCTTGTAATCTCTTGTGCGCTTACATCAAAATTCTCAAATGATTAGTGAAGGAATCACGCTATCAACATCTTTCAAGTTTGACACAATGTTTTTGACATTATGTTTGAATCAATTCAAATAAAAATTTAAAAAATAAAATAAAAAATAATTTAGCAGTGTTTGGTAGAGTTTTAGAATTATGATTTGAGAATAAAACTGTATTTTGAGTTTGTGAATTTTGGAATTATGATTTGAGTGTGAAAAATTTGTTTGGTTATGAGTTTTAAAAAGAGTTTTAAATTGAGTTTGAAATATTTGATGTGACATATGATATTTAATTTAAAAAATTACAACTCATAACCAAACATAAGTTTGAAATGTTTGATGTGACATATGATATTTAATTTAAAAAATTACAACTCATAACCAAACATATAACTCAAAATTGTATTTAAAACTCATAAATAAAAAAATTTAAATTCCGAAAATATTTTTTATTTAAAATATAAAAATAACAGGTGCCAAAAAAAAAAAAATACTGTTCCGGTCAACCGACCGAACGATCGGCTGGAAGTCGGGGGATATCCGGGAGGATGACCGAATAGACATGTTTTCAAAAGTGGGAGTAAAATCAATTTTTGAAAATTCTAATCAAACACAACACTCAAATCAAAAATATGAAAATTTCAAAAACATAACCAAACAAAGCCTTTATTTTTCATTCACATTTTTCATTGAGTATGGCTACTATAGTTTAAAAGTGAAATTTATTTTTCAAATTATCTATTATAATATTTAAAGTAATTCTTTCTGTCATGGCTTTTATATTCATCAGCTAAAGCCAGGTTTGGGATCTTTGAAAAAAAATAAAAAGACAAAAAGTTACTAAAAAATTTATCACTATTCATTAAAAAAAATTATAAAAAAATTATTTTTATACAAAAAAGGTACAAATCATGTT